GGCACAAGCTAATTACATTCCAACTTAGCGTTTTCTTGACGTTAATGAAGAACCTCAAAAACGTCTTTTACCCATACAAAGTTACGAGTTGAAGCCACTCGTCTCGCTTGGAGAAGCCGTACAGACACTCGATGACCTGATTGAAAATATTCAAGGTTTCGTCTGGACTGCTGTGGGAAGCTGTAAGGAGGAAAAAGAAGGACTTTCGTCTAATAAACGCGCTGCAATTTATCTCTATACAATGGAATGCATGTATCATCAATTGAATGCTGCACTCAGAAGCAACGATTGACAAAAACTTGCAAACTCATTCGGAAATTTTGCAGATAGATAAGGTTCTTAGAACTAAGCAACTAGCCTAAGTGTAGAAGCAACAAATAGGTGAGCAAAGAGTTTTTTGAATAGTTTCATTTTATATTTTTCCTACTTGAAACTATTTCTGACGGCTCTTTGGAAATTACGTGACGTGAAAGATGGTGTTTGGCGAGGTATTAAAAAAATATCTTGAAGATCAATATCCGATGGGAAGGAAATTTCTTTGGTGGGGTGCATCTAGCTGTATAACTTCATTGAACGTGCTTCAAAAAGAAACATTTCTCGATGAGAGGGGGTCAAAGAACACTTTTCAATATTAAATCTTTTAACGGAAAAATGATAAAAAATCACTTCCAGTTTCCGAATGAAAGTCAAGTTTTGCTCATGCCGTGTAGTCATTTTGAAGTTGAAGGTGTTATAAAACAAGGTCCAGAACTTCGAATTATTCAACTGAGACAGATTGAGCCGCCCGTTACACTTATCAAAGTCCCGTTTCCTCCAATTCAACAAGATGCCGCTGTGAAAATGACTCCTACTACAGTTTCTACTGCTCAAAAGTTAACCAATTTGAGTCCAAATTCGAAGTCATCTACTTCATTGACCAATAATACACTAACAACGTCTTTAAATTTCGATGTTTTGAAAGACAAACCAAGACTAACTTTGAGTGTTGATATAAGCTTCTCGGAAATGGCTGCTAATGATAGATATTTACTATACTCTTCAAAAGCCAGACTGTGTTCATTTGATGCACAAGGAAATGACAATTTCAAGGTTCAACTACATTTTTATGTAGTTAGTATTTGCTGGTCGTCTTTCTTGAATCAATTTTTTGTATTGGGTGATGGTAGAAAATTATATTCATTAAGTGTAACTCGTGATAAGATACAGCAGTTAAAAGAAATGATAAAATTTGATTAAGGAGGGGAAAACTATACATGTTACAAAGAAACTTTGTTAGTTTCATCTGATTACAGAAATGAAGAGTATAATTTAAAGATTTGGAAGTTAGTTCAAACGTATGAATCACCTGCATTATGTAGAGAAGTTCACCGGATTTGTTCAATGAAATATAATTCAACAGGAACACGTCTTGAAATGATTCTAAGCAAATGGAACAATGCTAAAGATCGTATGTGGTTTGAACTTCGTCGTTCGAATAAGATGCATATCTTACAAGTTACTGAACTTGAAGTTACGTTTCGTTCACATAGTTGTCTCCTTTCTCTCCCCGAAGATATATTCCTGGCTTCTATCGGGACAAACAAATTATATTTATTTAATTCAAATGGAACATTAAAAGAAACAATTGATTATGATGCAAATATACTTTCGACAGCATTGATCAATGAGAAATGTCTTGTCATACAGGCATCTGAACCTTACCAACTGCGTTTCTACAATTTATAAATCTTTTGCTCCTATAAGACTTGTCTTCCTTTTAACACATTTCGATCATTCAAATAAACTCATCACATGTAAAATAATACAAATTAGTGAAGTTCTGTGAAAGGTAGCATGTCATAAGTTTGCTTGAAAAGAGTTTTTTTTTTCTTGATGAGTTTTAGTTTTGAAGTATTGTGCTCAATCGTGGGAATGCTTGGTTTAAAAAAATCATCTATACAAAGAGACGGCACTCAGCACTTTCTCAATTCCGAGTATGTAATGACGAGCCGCTTATCTTTGCTTCACACCTTCAGAAATTGCTCCATTTATTCGAAAATTTTTGATCTGAATGCCTCGTGGATGTAGGTGAAGGTACCAATGAAAACAAGACCCATACCCACACCCACACCCTTATCGTATACACTACACTTATTACTAATAAAATTCGATCAGGGTATTATCGAAATCCAATTCTCTCACTGACATGTAAAATAATATCACTAGCATTGATCCTTTCAGACAAAATAAATACAACTATAGATCAATAGCGCACGTAAATCAATATTTGTGTACTTTATCAATAAAGAAAGATGTGGAGCGTGGTTGTAGCTATTGTTTAGGCCAATATTCACACCCACATCCCAAAACAAAAGCGATTTTATTATATTTTATTTATGACAATCTGTAGAAAGTGTATATCAGAAATCAATATTACCACCATAGATACAATTTTTGATGAGCCAATTTAATTGAATAGTTATCCAAAAATTTTTCGGAATCGATCATGATCTTTAATATTTGGTACATTTTTGTAGTTGCATTTAGAAGACATAACGAGAATAAATGACGAATATTTGCATTAGTTTTCATTAATAGTAATTTAATAATGGATTCAAGATCATTTATTGAAATATTCAGTATCATATATTGTAGTCGAGGACACAAAGTGACAAGTAGTTCATATTTATCTAATGAACAAATATGAGAAATAGTTAAACTTGTAATCTTGTTTCCATTGTATACCAAACGAAAAAATTCAGTTTGTTGTATTGATATTGGATTTGATTGATACAAACGTATAGAATAAAGTTTTAATGTTTGAATATTGAGTGTAATACTTAATAATTCAAGTAATTGATCGAAACAAAACACACCCCAATTTATAGTTAGATTAGTTAATTGTGTCAAACAAATAATATGATGGAGGATGACAGCCGTCTAGTAATTACATCCACACCAAAGAGTGAGTTCAGTGGCTTTTGAAAATTGAACCCGATGAAATACAATCGACTCTTCATCTTCCATATAAACATGACGAACCAAATCATGAAGAGCTTCTTGACGATGTGAACACCTATCTTTATTTGATAATTTGTATAATTTATAATGTTTTCGTCTCAAAAGACAAAAAAATCAGAGCTAGTTGGTATCAAAAAATTGATATTACTATACCCGTATGGTTGGATGGAATAGAAGATCACACCGCCCATATTTTCTTCAACATAATGTTTATGTGAAAAGAACCATCGTCGTTCAAAGTAAAATGAAGAATTAAATTGATCGATCATTTTATGAAATTCAGTGATATTAGAGTATGAATTATATACGAATTCCTTATGTTCAAAGTCAAAGATACGTAAGTAAGGCATAGAAGTTAAAATCAATGTTTGCCATCTTTTAGCATTCAAATATGTCCTATCATTGCTTGTAGAAATACGCAATAATTGAAGTTGATAAAAGCGATTTTTGACCAAGGATTCAAATAGATTAAAATTTGTAAATTGCCATGTGAGTGAAACATGTATTAAAATTGTTTTGTACAATCGGTATTTCTGTTTTTTTTTGTTTCTAGATGCAATTAATGAATAATACCACAAACGACGAAGTTGAGGAACATAAGTTAAAAAAGCATCGAGTTCATAAAATTCAAAAGAATTCTTAATGGCCATATGTTCGATAGTGATGCATTTATTGATAATAAGCAAGAGTGATTCAGGTTCAACGCATTCTTCATAGGATAATTTACAATATTTCAATACCGGTAAGAAAAATGTTTGACGATAAAGAGTAGTTTTATTTGATTTACAGTCAACAACAGCAATAGTCAATAAAAAGAGATGAGGCAATAAAGTTAAATATTTTAGAATATTTCCAAGATATTTTGATTCGAGATTTTTAAGAATAAGTGTTTCAAGTCGATGAAATTTTGAAACAATAGAAGAAGATGTAAAAATGAGATCGATAACGAACAGATTTGATGAATAAAATGATTTAATTCAATGTTGATTTGGTATAATAATATGAGTATAATAACGTTCAAAGGCCAATTTAGATATGAATGACATATTGATTTTAATAGAAACAGTTGAATAAATGAGAAGATTTTGAAATCGTCAATTAAGATTTGAAAAAGCTTCGTATAGATCGTAATTATTGGGAAATTCGACGATTTCACAGATAAGTTCGTTTGCAAGATCTTCAAACTTAGTAAACGACAATCTATATTAATAATAGAAAATTAAATAGAAAAAAATATATTAAAAAAAAGTTTGATTTTTCTTCAAAGCAAGATATTGTCTTACCATATTTTTTGAGTTTTTGAAAAAAAACAATTAAATTGTCATTGTGAGTTAAAAATTGAATATTAAAGTTTATGTTTTGTTTCCTATGATATCTAATGAATTTTATAACTTTTTTTGGTAGAAATGTGCTTCTGTATATGCTAGTTATGTATTCAAAAGATGAGACTAATTGCTTGAAGATTCAAGTATCTAGGACTATGACAATAACATCATGTTCATCATAGTGACATTTCTTTCTAATAGGCGATATATGTCTGAAAATTTTAGGAGAAAATGGACACCTATAGGGGAACATTTCCTATAAGTTTCAAGTCGAACTGTCAAACTTTTACTGAATTATGAAGTACACAATGACATAGAATGGTTTGTCTGTATATAGATACTTACAATAGAATGGCTCTAACTCCATAATGGCTCGATGAATTTCAGTGAAAATTTTATTATAGATACCTACAATACAAGGCTACAGAATGAGAGGTCCTGCAGCTCCTTAAGTCTTGTCATTCCTAAGTTATGAAGTCTACAAGGGTGACAGACAACTTGCATTATAACTTTCTTTTACTTCATACAATTGGGGTGCGGATTGTGCCGCTGACCTACATTCATCAAGAACTATGTATATACAAGTTTTCAGATCTACAGCCTTTATAGAAGTGAAAAATCTAGTGCGGACATACTTTTGGCCAGTACTGTAATGATATTAATAATCTTGTTAATATGTGGAAATCTATAAAAAGTACTGATCTATCACCATTAAATATTGAAGATAATAATGAAGAATCAAAAATTAATATTGAAATCGATAAACAACAATTATCATTAAAACATCGAAATATATCTCAATTAATTCTTGCACGTAAACTTCAAAATTTACAAGAATTTGCTAATGCATATCATTTAAATCTATCAAATACTGATGATAGATTATTAAGAACAGATACAGCACGTGAAAATGTTCAACAAATGGCTAATGATATATTAGCAAGTATAGAAGAAACAAATCGAATTAATTTAGGTAGTTTTGTTGCACAAATGGGTGGAAATAATCATAGATTATTAACTCGTTTTCGTATGCAAACATTTTATCAAGAATTAGTTGATGTAATGCCATTAAAATGGAAAGAAATATTTGAACAATGTCAACAACAATCAACATAAAAAGAAAAAATTTTTTTCATCAAATCTAAATTTCCTTGTTTTTTTTTTATTTACTTTTGAAATACCTGTGTTTTGTAATCTTCTTATCATTAATAGATCATACTTTATATTTGTGAATAATAAATAGATACTGACAAAAAAAAAAGGAATTGCATTATGAGATTAAAACATCAAATGATCGTATGTCAATTTGACGACTAACTAATCAAATAGTTTTTATTTTCAAAATTCAAAACATAAAATAACGAAGTAGTCATTCGCATAAAGGTGATATCTTCAAATTCGATTACCGTACGCATTGTTTTTTTCTTTTCATTCAATCCTTTGGGTGTGAGTGTGGGTGTGGGTCGGTGTGGATGTGGGTAGATTTTCTCTTCAACCACACTCACACGCACGCCACAGTCACACATCCCACACCCACACATGTCATTGATTAAGAAGAAAAACTGAAACGATAATATTCTATTACTAATCTGTCCCTTCTCTCGATCGAGATTAGTGCACATTTATATGCTTATTTCTTCCAACTGTTGATTCAGCAGACGCTACTCAACGACACTCTCGCGATGCATCGATTCAACTTTCAAACATGTGAGAACCTACTCTGTTCAGCTAGCACTATGTCAAGCTCTTTTTCGAGCACTGTCATTTTCATCCTGCTTGAATTTATTCTGCGCAGAAGAGGTCTCCATATAGCAAAGAATGAAAATTGAAAGCGAACACTTGCTTTCATCTCCATCTGTAGTTTTCAATGTATCATAAGCAACCCAAGCCGCCCTCATCGGATCACACGTCACAGATGTCAACATCGAAATGTTAGTGCATAAATTACTTACTGATGTTCTCGAATCCAAATTTTATGATTCATGATTTCAGCTGAGTTCGTAGTCAAATGAGTTAAAATGACATTCTTTACTCAATTATAATCTGATTTTTACACGTCAACTTTTACTTTTTTTACTGCCAAGATTTTTGTTTTTGAAGTCTCTCTAATAGGTCAAAAGTATTTGTCAATTTTTATTAATTAAAATTTATTGATGAATTTTAATCGATAAAAGAAATTAGGAAGAAATGCTAAAAATTACAACAAGCCAAAAATAGACATTTCAGAACAGATTTATAATCGTTTTTATACATGGATAATACTCGTTTGAAATTATATAAAGAAAAAGGTATGAGCATTGGATATAACCATGATAAAAATTTTTCGTTATGTTACCAACCCATTCCATATCTGACCTTAGTTTACATATCTTAAGGGTAGGGCGAAAAAAATGTTCTGTGACGTCCTCTGATCAGTAGTATACTATCTTCCTGTATTGAGATGATAAAAGTGCTTTAGTCTAGTCATATTTATATGTTATTTCTAGACCTGTGACAGCTCACAGTTCTAAGAATTGGTTCTTTTTTGAGAATTTGGTTCGGTGATCAATTTTTTTCATATGGACTCAGTGTACTGACAATGATAAAGTAGTAATTCTATTCCGTACTTGTTTCACTTGTCAGGAAAAAGAATTGAATGAGGATACCAATTCGATTCCTTGATCGTAAACTGTCGCAGGTCTAGTTGTTTCTAAATATATACTGATTGAATGAAGAACCAATGGACTTTAAAGAACATAGAACAAGCATGAAACTTTTTTACTTCGTTGAAATCTAAGAAAATTCGCAATCCGCTGCGTCATCTTGAATATCATCCATCGAAAGCCCATTGTACATCAACCAGTTGTTAGCCAAAGGTGAATATAGCCATGTCACACTCTTGATTTTAGTAAAAAGTTGACATTGAATGATCTGATAGGTTAAAAATGTGTATGGACGATATAGGAGAAAGATGCTACATGAGTATGAGTAAAGGACAAGAAGAACGAAAAGGGAAAATACATATCTAGGGGCAATAAAAAGCAAAAAAAAATGACATATTCGTAACAGAAACAAGAATAAACAGCAGGTATCACACTACTTAACACATGTAACTTTAAAAAAAAGCTTTACAATCATCTTTTTCATGCATAATTAATGACATTTAATAAGCTAGATCACGCACCATCTAATTTTTACCCAAACAGAAAGCACTACTATAATCGGTAGTATAACTAGTGCCAATAAATTCGAATGAAGATGGAAGTGCATCTTTAATTTTTTTACCCATATAAAAGACATCATCCTCATCCTTAGCATAGCCAAAACCAAGTGATTGAAATGAATTTGCATCTGCACCCGAAATTTCTTTGTTTAAATAATAGACAGCAAAACTAGTTTTAGCGTAACCATAACCAAGTAATTGAAATGTATGTGGAGATGCATACTCAATTTTTTCACCCATATAATAGATCTCTTTGTGATCTTTAGCGTAACCATCATTAATCAATTGAAATGTACTCGGATTTGCATCTCCAACTATCTTACCCATAAAATAAACATATCTATTGTCCATAGCATAGTCCCAGTATAAGTTGCATGCATCAGTATATGCCAATTTGTTACGATCAGGTCTATTATCGGTATCTTTGTTTCGTGCATGTCGATCTTCATTACGTTTTTCTTTGTTTTCGTCTTCTTCCAAAAGAGAGTTCAATCGTTCATCGAATAGGTTCATTAGAGCTTCTTTCTGTGAGTCACGCTCGGTCATAGATGCTCTTGCAGCTTGATTATTGGGTATCATAAGAAGAAGAGATATAATGGAAAGAAGGAAGATGGAGTCGAGCTGCATAGTAGTTGTTTCTGTTTTGTTGATAAGTAGAATGATATGAATGCAATGTGTCTTGTAATATTCTATGTCACTCTTGCTTTTATAGCTTATTACAGTAGGAGTAATTATTATTTGAATAATTTTCGCCTATTGGTTCGATTCACTATCGAAAAAAAATAACCAATTTAAGTGTACATTCAATATTTTGTCAATCGACTGACTTCACATTATTCATTCGTCTACACATCACAGAATGTTATAGAAAAAGTCAGAGAATATGCATGTATATTATCACTTTATGAATAACAAGGACATGTATTAATATATTTTTCTTTTTCACATGATCAATCAAGCATAATTATAATTGAAAACGTAGAACAGTATAGTTTCACTTTTCGTTATATAAATTGGTGAATATAATTTTAGACTACATTTTTGTTTTTCCTATGATTCAGCTGCATTTATAGCTACAGATCTAATTCTTTCAATGTCAGAAAGTCCGTATTAAAGACTATATAACTTGGAAAAAGAATTCAAAAAATCAGGCGCATTTTAGATGAGTTATGATGGAAACAATTTTATTCCAGCTGACATAGCTTTCAGATACTTTTAGTATTTTGCATTTTTTGACCTAGCGACATTTTTTATTTTTATTTCGATAGAGATAAACAAGAAAAGTGAGATATCATACTTGCTAAAGAAATCAGATATATTGTACTTTGATAATTTATTTGTCGATTTTTGATTCAGCTACAAAAAAAAAAGTATTACGTATTGAAAAATTACTTTAAAATTAATTTTTCAAACGATAAGAACAATTCGATATAATTAAATATTATATATTTGCGAATTATGTGAGATTCAAACATTAGGAATTATAAGTTAATCTTTGAAAACTTCAACAATAGAGTTTAGATGGGTTTTAGTAGACGAAAAGATCATCCTAAATAGAAGTAAAATTTATTAGACAACAATGAAAAAAAGAACAAATATCTCAAAGCAAAATGATATTGTAATCATTAATTTTCTGAAAGATTCTAATCAGTCAATAAGACTTTTACTAAAAGATACATTGATGTGTTCGAAACTCGTTGATTTCTAGAATTACAAAACCAATTCAATTATTTCTAAAGTATTGCTGCAAGACTTTCAGTACTATCTCGCTCTTTACACTATGTGAAATGCTTGATAATAAAACGTATTCAATAAGGGAATTATCACGATGAAGAACATATATTATCGAGATGCTGATTTAAAAAATTTCAGAACATGATGCAGTTAAGCTAAATTGAGCGCCTTTATGGAGAAAATAAGAAAGTAGCACACAATCAATTTCAAATGAGGTATGATCAATTTGCCGTATCTAGATTAGGGAGCTGGGAATTCACGTTTTTGTGAATCCGGATCCGGTCGGATTCAAACTTGAGGTTTTTCTCCATCAATACTTGGCACTCTTCGTGTACATGAACAAGTGAAGGATCAAGGTTTCAACTATTTATTTGCTACTCAACATACAGTTATATCTTGTTGCTGGATCTCTCATCTAGAGAGCAGCGGGTTCACAAAAACATGTAATCGAGCTCAATAAAAAATAAAATTATGGACCCGAACTCGACAAAAAAAAATAAAAGTTTGGATCCGAATGCGAATCGGGAAGTACCCACAGCTCCCTAGTTTAGATTCGTTAGTTCAATTATTTTCGAGCTCGTTAAAGATTCATTCATAATTCCAAAACCTATATTCAGCAAGAATAAAAAAATTCTAATTCTAATCCAATGCTTGAAATTTTCTTCTGATTTCCGTCAATAATCGAAAAAAAATGAAGAAATATTTTTTTTTTAGAATCTTTTGCATTATTTGTTACATGCATTTATGTATTAAATTTTTCTAAATACAATCAATTCTTTTTGTAGATCTACTTATGATAGTAAGATGATATATTTATTTTATGTTGGTTTAAATCACATGACGACAAAAACAAAAAGAAAAATGAATGATAATAACATCAATTATGAATACGTAAAAGTATATAACTAACAGTTTAATTCTTTATGTTAATAATTTAATCGACTTTTGGCAAGTTTTGTACGATAAATTTACTGACATCTTCCATTTCCTATGAAGAAATAATACATTTAGATTAACTATTATTATGAATCTCTAACGAGTGTATGATTAAAAAAAATTTTACCTCATTACATGATGAATGCTCCATATTTCTATATTCTTTAAATGTATATTGTTTAAAACCCATTGCTTTAATACCTTGTTCAGTAAGACGAGCCCATTGTACTTGAACCATTGAATCTTGATCACCTATATATAGACGAATAATATATATTTTTATTTATATTTATTAATTTTGTATTCTATATACCATGACATTGAAGAATAGGTAAATTAACTTTTTTATCACCGGATATGAGTGCCTGATAGAAACAAAAAAAAAAATTTTTTTAATTTAATCTAATAAAACAAAAAAAAGAAAAAGGCAACTTTAGGAAATGTTGTCGATAATGGAAGCCATGTTGATAAAGCTAAAACTCCACCAAGTGTATGAGGAGAAGTTAATGCTAAAGAAATAAATATGAGAAAATGAAGACTTTAAAAAAACCGAATACCTGCATGAATAGCAACAGCACCACCCCTGAAAATAAATATGAATATTTAGATAAAAATATAATTTATGAACTTACATTGAAAAACCACCAACCATCTAAAAATAATTATTTTAAAAAAAAAAAAAGATTATAATAAATTTTATTTACTCACTATACGTTCCGGTGATATTCCACCTTTAATTTCTTCTTCAATAAGATCACTTACTTAAAATAATATCATAAATCAAAAAAAAAAAAATAAAAACATTAAATTCACAAGAAAATTCTTACAATATTTTGATGATTTTTCAATGCCTGGTTGATCTTCTTTAGCATTTTGATCAAGACCATGAATATCAAACCCTATTTTCACACAAAAATTCATCTTTTTTTTTCATATTCAATATGTTAAATGAACTTACAAGTAGGCATTGGCATTCCCATATTTAATGTTACTCTTTGAATTGGACTATTCAACAAAACAAAAAAAAAGAATATTTTTATAAATTCGAATTTAGTTTTGTTTTTTGGACTTACGCATTTGGAAATATAAATTTTACATGCGGAACAGCTTTCGGAATTCGATACGTATTAAATGCTTCAAGCCAACTTGCTCTTTAAATAAACAAAACAAAAACATAGAAATTAATCTATAATTAGTGTCTAATATTAGATCACATTTCATTCTGTTGAAACTTAGATAGAACTACAATGTTTCATCTTCCGAAAGATCGAGCACAGGCATATAGTAACGGGTGTACGCGCCAGAATAAATGTGTCTCTAAGTATTTTCTCATTATTTCCATCTAGTGACAACGCCGAGATTTTTATACTGAAAGCTTTTTCAATTATTTTGATTTTTTAAGTGTACTAGTTCTATATTGAACAAACAATTCGCATTTATATACAGAGAATCGAAAACTGCAGTCTAACAAAATATTCTAATCAAAGATGTTAACCAACTGACTCGTTTAGATTCAATCCGCTCGATCCATAGTTCGTGCGCAAGTTGAATCTCAGACGAGTTACTACGGACTAATTAGTCATTTATCTATTTGTTTTGAAATATGTACACATATAAATGTGCTTTGGATGTGGGTCCTCTCTTAGATGTATCAAACCACCAGCTCACACCTGCACTAGTACAAAAGGATGTTTATTAAATAATATGTTATAAGTTCGTTGAAAGTAAAAAACAAATGGAAATAAATAATGAAAATTGTATATTGGAACATGTAATTATTACTTTTACTTTTTATTTGTTATCTTAATGTTTATGCATACGTTGAGAAATAACAGATAGTAAATAAATATATTACTAATATAATTTATATTAATCTACGAGTCGAAGAAAAACAAACATTCATTCAACGCGTGAGACGGACAGGGCTGAATATAGGGATGCACCAATTCCAATTGTTAGAATTAGTCGGAATTTGCATGCAATTGGTCTCAATCGACATTGATTAGGAGTAGAAACAGATGGTTATACCAGCAGCTGCTTCACTAATTACTTCGTGACCGAAGAAAAGCAAAGTTCTAGACTTAATTTTTTCAACAAAGAAAGAGTTTTTTAAGAAAATAACGATTTCTTATAAGGCTTAATCGGAGTCGGCGAATTCGAATCTGCAATTGGTTGCTCAAAACTTTGAACTTGATTTTTTAAGAAAATCATGATTTCATTTGAAGTTTGTTCATCAGCGAACAGGATAAGTTTACTTGACAGTGGAACCAAGTGCAACGTTTTGAGTAGCCGATTACAGATTCCTTTTTTTTACAAAGTAATGTTTCCGTCAAAATAAAAAAAACCTGGTTGAACCGCATTTCAATGTACATCATGAGAAAAGAACGCATTTAGTAATACCTTCCAAAACGTACTCTATTATATTGTTATATTTGTACATGCTTAATTGTTCTTAAAAAAACAAACAAATTTTGAAAGTTAGGCATGTTAGACCTTCGCAGTACTATTTACCCTAATATTTCCACTTAAGATTTTCTAGCAGAACTTGTTATGAAAATTGAATAATGAATCTCTAAAAACAAAGATTAGGATATGGCGATATTGAGAAAATATTCATTTATTCTGGCGCACTCATCACATGATAAAATAACCATAAACTTCGGAAACGCCAAATTAGTCTTTGCAGAGACATCTCTTTCTAGAGTTTGTTTTGATTGATATAATTTTAGTTCTATGAGCTCGAATCGAGGCTAAAACTAGTTTCATACATCTCTAATCCAAGTACTTTATTCAAATTTCTCAATCGGAAAATTTCGAAAGTGATATTAAATTTCGATTTCGATCCGAGTTTGAATAGAATTTCATATATATACATATATATATTCATACCCAACATCGCCGAGACCATGTAAAAAGATTACCTTAATAAACGAAATAATATTTAAATTATTAACATATATATATGGGAATTAACTTACGCTAGCAGTCTGTTTGACAGAAGCAAGAATAGTAGCTGGTGGTTTACTCATTTTATTAATTTAAAATCTAGATAAATAAAAAAACAAATATGCAAAAGATAAAAACAATAAATTAAAAATATATGATATAATCTTTTATTAAATAATACCAAATACAAGTCTAAATCACAAAAAAAAGAATATAATCCTAAATTTTAGATTCTATTTTTGGTAAATATTGTTTGATGAAAGCAATAACATCTTTGATTTCCTAAATTAAGAAAAGGATAGTATTAGTTTTTCAATACAAAAATTAAATATTCAATTGTAATTACTTCATCACTTGATGAATGAACCATTCCATTATATTCTTTAAAAATATATTTTTTAAAGCCCATTTCTTTGAAAACTGTTCCAGTTAATCGACCCCATTGTATATGAACGATTGGATCTTGTATACCTATGTTTAAAAAGAAAAAAAAAACAACAAAATTAATTTTTCTCTCATTGAATTTTATTCGTACATACCATGACACTGAAGAATAGGTAGATTTTGTTTTTTATCACCGGCTACAAGTGCCTAAAAGATTCAAGAATATTTCACATTGTTTATTTTTTATTTTTTTAAATTCTAAAATCAACTTTAGGAAAAGTAGAAGATAATGGAAGCCATGATGATAGAGCTAAAACACCAGCTAATAAATGAGATGTAGTTAATGCTAGAATAAAAAACTAAATAAGAGAAATCAAACGAAATAATAAATATATTACCTGTATGAAGAGCAGCAGCACCACCTCTTGAAAATCAGACAATATTTTTATAATGTTAAATTGACATGGATTTTATTTTTCATTAAATTATATATGATTGAATAGAACTTGAAGAGTCGATTACAATTATATACTTTTTCTTCTAAGTAATAGGTTATTCCTTTATTGTAAAAAGTTTCAAATACTATTAAGATCACAGATATAACCAAAATGACTTTTCTTCCCAACTCTTTGAAAATCGTTTAGTTCCTATTATCAAAATTAGGTTGAAAAACAAAATAAACACACCAGATGTCAAATTACTTTTTTAATCAAGACAATATTTATTTAATGAGTAATGGAAAAGTCTAGAATGATTTGGTTTTCCAAACCTTTATTCTTAAACTATCGAAAATTTTACTGGACTTATCTACAAAAAAGTCGTTGACTTGAAATTTTGCACAAACAAAGTTCTCAATGAGATTATTTCATATGAGTAATTTACAACTTTTCTAGTATTTCCTTATTTCTAAGATATTCAATATTCAAAATTCTCTCATGTGTAAAACCAAATTTTATTCATCTTAAGAAAGAAAATACTAGAAAACTTAAAAATTTTCACAATCAATTAATTTAATTGAAAGATTTATTCATGCAAAGTTTGAAGTCGAAAGTCGATTTTTTATGAGATCATAGCTTTTTGTAGATAGGTCCAGTGAAATTTCGATAGTTCAAAAACAAGGATTCGGAAAAGCAAACCATTCTAGACTTTTTCATTATCCATTAAATGAACGTTATCCCGATCGCAAAATCAATTTGACATTCGGAGATATTTCTTCATGAATTTTTGATAGTAAACACTGCAATAAACAAGATCATTTTAAGCCCTTGTACTACTAAAATGAGGAAATCTTTCGATTTTCTCAACAATAAATCTAAATGAGTACTTTTGTAGTTCGAAGTCAGTTAATTCAAATCAAATAAGACATTCAAAACACATGTTATAAGTCAACAAACTATTCTTAAAATAAAAAGCATATATGCATAATTAGTTCTTCAAACTCAATCAACTCATATATAAATTAATACAAAATAAAATCTACTCGAATTTTGCGTTAGGTACATTTTAATTAAAACTTACTGTGAAAAACCACCAATCATCTAAAAACAAGAAAATAAATGTAAAAAAGAATCATTAAATTTTTATTCACTTACAACACGTTCGGATGGAATTCCATTATTAATTTCATTTTCAATTAAATCATTGACTATAAAAAAATAAAAATAAAAATAAAAATAATTCTTTAAAATCAAATATTTCTATTTACGATATTTCGATGCTTCAGATATTCCTTGTTGATCTTCTTTTGAACTTCGATCAAGACCATATGCATCAAACCCTTATTTATTTATTTATTTATTTTGTATAAATACATTCATTGAAAATATTGAATTTTATTTTATTTTTTTTTATATTAACTTACAACCAGTCATTGACATTCCAGAATTTAATGTTATCTTTCGTATTGGACTATTCATATAAATGAATATATACATTAACAAGAACATAATAATTATTTTTTCACTTACGCTGTTGGAAATATAAATTTTACATGTCGAACAGTTTTTGGAATATTATACATATCAAATACTTCAAGCCAACTTTCTCTGAAGTAATAGAAACAACATGAAGACATTTATAAAACTATACATTATTTAAAGTGCAACTATATCTCTTACCCAACATCACCAAGGCCATGTAAAAAGATTAACTAAAATATTACGAAGTGTATTAAATCATTCGTTAAATTCTAGAATAATTTACACTAGCTGTATGTTTATCAGTTGCAGGAATAATTGCAGATGGTTTATTCATTTTAGTTGTTTTAACAATATTCTTTTCTACTTGTGTTATTGATCTAAATGTGAATTTTAACTTTTAGTTTATTGTATTTTTTGACAAAAAAAAATACTATAATTTACGAAGAAAAGTTTGACATTGAACGATAGAAAATCGTTCCGAGATAGGCTAAACTCATCGTAACCATAAAGAAGATGAGATTGCTATGCCAAGCCACTATTTTTTTGTTATCTAAATATGGTTGTACATTTATTTGTATAATATATGTGATATAAAGTCCAACAACAAATGCAAATTAATGTCAAATGCATCTAGTAAAGCGACATCTAGATTTCATAAAAAGAAATTATAATTGGAATGTACGGAATACGACTGTATATTTATTTATATATTTTATTTTTACAAAAGATGAGTTTCACGCAAAGGATGGCACTATACAACAATTACATTTCAACAAGAATACAATAAACAATAGAAAATACGAGATGTCACTAAAACTAAATCCTTAATTTTAGTTGATTAGAAGAATTTAATATCATTAATAATCTATATCAATGATAGATTTCATATATTGGTTAATAGCAAATTTTTAAAATGAGTTTTAATCCAAATGCATTAACAGATTTCCATTTTGACATTGATTTGATGATTCATTCGTATATGATCATAAGCTAGCAATCAACAGTAAAGATAGCAAGGAAATTTCATTGGTTATAAATTAAACATATAGAAAAATAAAATTATTTTCGCTCTCTTTTTTTTTTATTAATATTAACAATAGAGGTGTTTTGTATTGTTAGTTAATATAGCTAGATATATTCAGGTCAAATTAAAGTGTTCACTGGCAAACTAACAAATTTAAAATATAAGTTGTCCTTGATGTGTTCGGACTCAGATATTCGAATTTTATGATGTTTATAATATATGTAAAGTGTTTCAAATAATTTAATCATTACATCACATCTTCATGTGTATACACTATTGAACAAACGATCGAATTATTCAATAGTTTAATAACAATGATCGTCATTTGTAAAAACATCTTAAATGTTGAACAAAAACGTTTGGAAACGACTGTAAATAGTTGTATATTGACGTATTACTAGCATATTTCTCTGTATCACATACAGAAAAATACGATCGTTTATGGAGTTCTTATACGAGAGACAGTATACAACCTTCGCTTTACCCAATATCTCGCCGTAAACGATCGTATATCTCCGTATGTGATACGGAGAAATATGATCGTAATACTGAGCTATGCAATAAACAAAAATACGACGACATACGGTGAAATACTGAGTGTATCTCAATTTCATATTCTTCGTCCTAAGATGTTACTTCTTGGTTAATTTGTATTCTAATACACGAGTACTATTTTTTATCATAGTTATCAGACGGTAACTATGTTACAGACATAGGTGAATTTACGTTTCTAGACTCTATCATTTTTAGTCAGGGAAATGCTCTATTCAAATTATGTCTCTTCGTAACTAACAAGAAAAAAAAAGATTATGACTTTAGATGCTTAATGTAAATCTTTTTTAAAATTTATTTCTAAATGCAGAAAAAAAACTATCATATATTGTACAATCATTTAATATTTTGTCTTTCTGATTAATGAAATTTACTGCATAATATTCTTCTTCTCTTGAGAGCTAATTATGTTTCAAATATTAGCAATTATGTGATAGATCGATCAAACAGTTCAATGTAAATGATAAGCATTGATAACATTCTATCGATGAATTTATATGTCAAGTTTTAGAGATCTATTCATTAATTTCTTTATTAAAAAGGAAAAAAAAAGAGAAGATACACACTATTTAATTGAATATAATCTAATTATTTAGCACTGCAAAAGATAGTATTCGCTCACAATGATTATTCAACTTTCAAAACATAGTATTCTTATTTTTAGTACAATTGTATCATAAAACAGAAGTAAAAAACAAGAGAAAAGAAAAACATCCAACTTGAAAGTGAACTAGACACAATTGTATTATTTTGTGGTAAAGATTCCTTATAAGCTGGAGTCGATTGATGAGTAGTAGGTAATCGTGATGTACTTGAATTGAGTACGTAACTGTGATTTCGTTGCAATGACTTATTACTGACAGGTAAACGTGGTGTCATTGAATGGCGTACATGACTGTCATACACTGGTGATGGTTTGTTTGTGTCAGGCAAACGAGTTATAGTTAAATGGTGTACATGATTATCATACACTTGCGATGGCTTGTTATTATCAGGCAAATGAAATGTAGGTGAATGATGTACATAATTGTTATTCCATTGTGATGGCTTATGCGAGATAGATAACAGTGGTGAAGATTGGTGATCGTAATTGTTGTACTGTTGTGGTGGCTTATGTGTAATAAACAAAGATGATGGAGTTTGATCATCATCATCAGTATTTTGTATTTGCAATGGTGTATGTCTATCAACAATGTTTACAATTATTCCTGGTTGATTATTGCATTGATCCGTATGACAACATGTCAAATTGAGATATATTTTGGGTTTTTGTCGCATTTGTTCACATTTAGCTTGTGATGTCCATCCGCGATGCCATTGAATTATACCATTCTGTTTATCATCATTAGTACATTCTGCACGATGATTCAATCCTCGTGATGAATGAGAACAAACACTTCTATAACTGAAACAAGCACAACCAACTTTTGAACATAATTTATTTTCTTCAGTTCTATATATAGTAAGTTCAGATTGATGATATGTATAAGTCAATGTTTTGTTTAATGTCTGACTTGTATGTTGTAAATGTTCATATCGTAGAAAACATTTTATTGATTCTTTGAATTGATTTTGAGTTGAAACTTGTAAAGCAATGAAAATAAATGAAATAAATATAAATTGGATGAAGGTAAACATTTTTTTGTCTGATCTATTTGTTTGTATATGTGCAACCAATAGATCAAATATAATTATTTATCAAGTACTACCATCCGTATATATATCATTTAATATCCCTTCTTTTTTTCCTCCTATCACTGCTATCGAAATAACAACAAAAACAGAGACTAGATCTGTTATAAGAAATCACAGAAAATATGTAAATAGACACCTGACAATTTGTTTTCTCTACCAACATAACTACTTCATCACATCAACAATAGTCTTTTTAACTCATAGAATTTGCTCATATAAGAAATGTCATCTCAGTTCTTATTTCTGTTTATTGTCTATAGTAAATTTTTGTGTCTTGTTGTAAATATACAGAAAGAAACAAGAAAAAAGCAAGGCTAATTGTCATTTCCAACGAACTGCATGACGTCGCAATAGTAGTAGTGCACGATATATATTTCGTATACAAAATTAACCATTTGACTGTTAAGTTTTTTTTTAAACTATCTAGTAAACTTTTTGTAAACTAACTTTTGATATACACAAATATAATCGAATAATCAATATGAAACATCAGAATCAGTAGAAGGAGGTCCAATAGGTGCAAGATGTTAGAGTCGACCTATAGCATACAAAGAAAACAGAGTTAAGGAATTATATTTTTCATCTTTTCCATAAAGAATACTCTGACGCCTATAGGCGTCGATAACAGTGAAGGGGTTAAAGAAAATCAGATACAAAATACGATCAACCTCGAAAGTATTGTTGATAATAAATCTTAATTTGATAAAAAGATTGAATGAGAACGATGAAAATCTTTGATATATATGTTTATTATTCTGTAATATGTTGGTTTTTAATTTTACAGAGACAACTAAAATTTATTTTCTTTTTATTAGTAAAGTTCGTTAGCGCGGTCCCTCTTGATGCTAAAATGTGGAACTCATATATATATTCTTTAGCCTGATTACACTAATACAAAATACAGTAAAACCTCTCTATAATGGACATTTACGGAACTTTTTAAAAGTGTCTACTATAGGGAGGTTAGGTCTGTTCCAAAACCTAAGTTTTTCGAAGAAGCAAGTACATTTTCTAAGGACTTGAAGGGTGTTAGTGAATAAGATAACTAGCTAGTACTCACTGTCACTTCTCTCCTCATACACTTTTGTTCTTGAAAAAAAGAAAATTCAATAATTGTTAAAATATAGAAAAACTCTCTAGTTGACATCGTTTGAAACTTCTCAAAAGTGTCCAATATCGGATGGTGTCCACTATAGAGAGGTCCAATTCTAGCAAAAGTCACCCCGTGGGCCTGTAAAAAAGTGTACACTCTATGTAGGTGTCCACTCTGGAAAGGTTCAATTCCAGTAAAAATCGCTCCGTCGGACCGCGGAGTGTCCACCATGCGAGGTCTAACTGTACGTAAAGTGGAATTTCTGCACTTAAAAAAGAATTTTTTTTTGTACGGACGCTTTATTTTTTGTTTGCATCGTTGATATTCACTCGTTATTTTTTCATTTTTCTTCATTTAACATTGTTAGTAGTATAAGTATTGAATTAAATGGCAAATAAGGCTGTTGTAAATATCCAGTATATCTATAGCAGTAGATCTTAACACACTGTTATATATCTCAATTAACTCACAAACATTGATATTAATTATTTTTCAAAGTTATAACTTTATCAATTCATGCTTTTTATATTAATCATATGACAACTGTGTCAAATCAATGCATCATTATCCATTATCGTTGACAATCATTCAAATTTCGATGAAGGCTTTCGAATATTCTAGAACCTTCTAAGCCTTATTATTAATTTCGTTCAGCGCCGATTGTTAAAGTTTATGATGGGGAGGGAGAGATTCATAAAACTTCCGACTTAAAATTTACACGCACAATTTTCTTCGAAATTATATATGAGTTCTAGAAAATTGTAATGTAATTTGTAAGATTACCTTCAGATTCTGATACTATTATATTATCTTCTACTTCAATTTATTCTTTCTTTTATAAACAATTTGTGATGAAATTCATTCAAATTTAAAGAAAGAGTGTTTTATTTATTTAGAAAAAAGAAACATAGAAATACAGAAATTAATATTAAAATCTTTTATTTGATGCAATATGATTTTATTCACCACCTTCTTGTTCACGAATAACATGTAAACCTATTCAAAAAATAAAAATAAAAATATCATTCAATTGAAATAATATATTTTAAAATTCTACCATCAAGTTTTTTTAATGGTTTTAAACGTTTTTGAACTTCTGCTTGCCAAATTTCTTGTTTACCATCATTATCTTCTAGAAATTTATCATGTAATGGATTTCCATTAAAAACTAATTCATGAAGTGTTGGTAATTCCGCCTAATTACGAACAAATTCGAGTTTCTAATAAATCGAAAAAAGAAACGATTATTTTTTTTTCTTACTAATTTTTGAAATTCACCCCATTCTTTAACAGAATTATTACTCATATAGAGTACCTTCAATTTTTTCATTCCACCAATACCTTTTAATTTTTCTATTTGATTATATGATATCCATAATTCTTCAAGTGTATCACCAACAGCTTCCTGAACGAAATTATTAAGATAGTCTCCATGAGAAGATCAAGGATTATGAACTCAATGTACGAAGTACTCGTCAAAAATATGGCTTTTTTTTTGAAAAAAAAATATTTTGTATACTTATTCGAAAGAACATCGTTGAAAAACCACCGATCTTCAATTGCTAGCACTCATTTGAATATTCTATAGAAATATTAATCTATATTAACTACTTACTTCTAAGAAAATAGTCTCATAGATTTTCTCTGAAATCGTATTTCAATAAATCACAAAAATTTTCTGATGTAATATACGAAAAAAATAGAGCATCCACAGTTGATAAAAACGAGTTATTTAAAATATTGAATATCATCTGTTCACGAGAATTATATAGGCTAATATGAGTGGAAAAAGACATCATTTTTCAATGGATAATATCAGTATATCTGCTGTCATTTATTGAAATCAAAAGATCTCACGGTGAGTTTTTCATATGCTATGTAACTTTTTATTTCTCTATAAAATAGTAAAAAAAAATCGAACAAAATGGCATAGATAGTTCATTCGAAGAAAGAAAAGAAAATTGGGTGACCGAACAAAACATTGCAACATTTCATTATACTAGATATTTCTATATGTGAAGTCGACTTTTTAAAGTATGATGCAAGGATTTGGATGTGGATGGGTTTGCATATGTACCTATAAATGTGAAACGTGTAGTACAGACAGATATAACCAGCCTAACTCAGAGGAGATTTCTCCGCTGTCCTCAAATCACACCCACAACTGCGTTTAAATCCACATATACATCCCAAACCATAAACCATGTATCTGCCCTCTAAACTCGGACCCCACACCTACACCCTAAAACCCACACTCTTAGATCATACTTTAAGAAGTCAATTTCAGATATAGAAATATCTAGTATAATGAAATGTTGTCACGATTTGTCCTGTGACAATCTGTCCTAGCACCGAAAATTCGACTGCTCTGTACTTCTAAGTGGGATGCGAGGATTTTCAGAATGTTGTTTTTTTCATTTAATCGAATAATGAGAAGACTTGAAATGCTAATCATAGTCATATAATCGAAGTGCATTATCAGTCGTAACTTAGTAATATAGAGAGTATCCTTTCGGTAGAGCATTTGACAATCACTGCCAAGTATATGATCTTGATGAATTACTCTATAGAAGTAAATTACAAGTAGTAAGGTACTTCAATCATATGAATGTGATTATCATTCCGAGTCCTATCTTCCTGGAACGGATATAGAGCGGTTGAAATTTTCTTTTTTTTTTCGAATGAATTATCTATGCCATTGTGTTCGGTTTGAAGTCCTAATTTCTTCGAGATAAAAATCTTCATGAATGAAAAATATTGAGTTTTTTTTATAGACCAATAAAAGGTCACACAACATATGGAAAATTCAGTGTGAGGTCTTTTAATTTCAATAGATAACAGCAAATATACTGTTGAAAAATCGGCCGTTATACATCGGGAAAAGTGTAATTTTAAGGGACTAGTTCTGACTGTTTTCTTGAAAATAGGTAGGTACATCTGGAAAATTGATTTTGAATAAGCATATCAAATCATATTTTTGACGAATTTTTTTGTTCCTTGATCCTCTTATGGGTGTTTCTCTTTATTAAAAGAGACGGCAATGGAAGTCTCTTACCAAACCAACAAGATTTTTTATTAAATTTCGACCAAGTGAAAGAATTTTTAAATTTTCTAAATTTTATTTAAAGAATTCTTTTTTTTTTCATTCAAATTAAATAATAAAATCTTACTTAAACCATTAAGATTAGCTATTTTTTCAATCATATTTGTTGATAAAGATAATTTTCTACAATAATACACTAAAGAAATAAAAAACAAGCAACAACAAAAATTTTTTCATACTCGCAACTGAGTAATGTTGAAATAGAAGCATCCATTTTATCAATTGGTGGAAATTGTCCGTAGAGTAGAACTTCTTTTGCTTCTGAAGCTTTTTGTTGTGTTTTTTCTTCCTAATAAAAAATAAAATAATTTGTTTTTGTTGTTTTTTGCTTTAGTTTTCTAATTAAGTATTTTACCCATTTTGCCAAAGCTTCTTTTGTTGTCATACTTGATTTCGCCTATTTTATAGAAATAATTTCTTTTTCTCTTTTTTTTTTAATTAGAAATATTTCTTACCATAATGTGAGGTTTTTAATGTATCAACTTAGTTAACAAGATTGAAAAATGTAATATTTGGAAGACTAGCAATGAAATTTAATTTCATACCATTGAACTTGTTGGTTGTTTAGATACAACCTCAATAGATGGATGTAGTTATTCGAAATTTTAATAAGTAAACATATCCGATTACTACTGACACCTATCTACATAAGGCTTCCACAAGGAATATACTCTGGAAATTTTTCAAATAGTTGAAGTTAATTGTGTGAGTATACATCTTAGAAGTATTATAGAAATAGTAAACATATAAATCGATCAGTTTTCATCCGTTATTGAAATTAAAACGATTGAAAAACTATCAAAACTGCCTGAATAAAGCTTCTCATGTTGCACATTATGACTTTCGGTTCCAACTATAAACGATTGCAGAGTGTGTTTATTAGAATTTATTATTTGAAATACTTAGAGCATAACAAAATTAGTATTGTCATTTTCTTATTTCCATATAGAAAGCTTGAAGAAATTTTCTTTTTTCTTATGGAATGATTGAGAAAACGATACTCTATTTTTCTGTGCTATTCAATCACTATTGAACTAATAATCGTAATAATAAAATTACGATAAAAACTGTTTTTCTGTAAAATGTGACAGTGATAGAGTGCTGCGGTTTTCATTGTTTGAAAGAAGAGATGAAGATGTATCGAATTGTATGCTTCAGAATTTTCTAGTCTGATTGTTTTTTTAAAGGTTTTCGATCGACTTCTTTGAAAATAAATCCACTACGCCAAGGAGTGTATAACGAATTTTTAATTTTCAAGTGTACATTCAAATCGTCAATGGAAGATCTACAAAATTTCCATAAGATTGACATGTTTGAAATTTATTTTTCAGGAGTCATAAATATCCTAGTTGAAGTTGTAGGTGGCTTTTCTAGCAACTTCTATGAAAAATATCTTTTTGCTGTTTGTTTTTGAATAAAAAATCATTTTTATTTTGATACTTAGAAAATTCATTAAGCAAATTTCAGACAATATATTCGAAAAATCTATAATATATGATTCAATGCAGCTTTATCTTCTCTTTCGAACGATGAAAACCGCAACTCTCTATCTTGTTCCTATGAAAAGTTATTCAAATAGAATTAATACAACCGTCACATTTTACAGAAAAACAGTTCCTATCGTAATTTTATTATTACGATAATAGAGTATCATTTTCTCTATTATGACATAAAAAAAGAGAATTTCTTCAAGCTTTATATATGAAAATAAGATAATGACGATACTACTTTTGGTATGTCCTAAGTAATTCAAATTTATCAAGAAAAAAAACTAGTTTCAGAGTATATTTTACTAATAAAAATTTTCGTAGCACCATCTATAATAAAAAAAATTTATCTCAGAACTAAAGCCGATTTGAGCCCTGTAGCTAGTGCAAGTGGCTCAAGTGCGTCAACGCACCAAAATCGATTCAATTCTGTAAGTCTTTACAGACTTTAAAAATATTCATGATCAATTCTCAGAGATTTCAGCACAAAGAATAACAAATACTGTCATACGTATAATCATGAACTCTCTTACCTTTTGATCTACCTAGAAATGTAATACAATTTATAATAATAAAAAGTTATTTGATACCTTGAACGGAAATGAGATTTTTTTTAACCTATTATCTTTTATTCATTATTATAATATAATCTTTTCTGAACGTCTAATGATTTTATTTTACACTTTAATACTTTGGTTGCGGAGGACACAAATATGCATCATAGTAATTTCAAGGTATATTGTTGACACTCATAGAATCATAAGTGATATCAATTTTCGTGGAAGCATTTCTTAGATACCTTTTTTGTTTGGTGCAATTTGAGTTATAAATTATTTTACTATGATAATTAGCAATGCATAATAAGTATAATATAATTGACTCTTACTTGAAAATTTGCTAAAATTTAAGATTCTGATGAGAAATATTTCTGTCTAAAAGAACATGTTAGATGATGTTATATTTATAACTTATTTTTCATCGACTTGATATTATTTTATTCAATGTCTTTATTTTATACAAGTTCAACATCGAAAATAACAATTTTAATTTTTTTAAAACTTTCCAGTCAAATATCATTTGTTTTCTATTTGAACAAAATTCATGTGAATAACACTTGAAAGTATATTGTTTAATTTTAATTGATATGACTAATCTTGAGGTTAGATTTAATCTGTAATTTCTATTAATTCTATAATGCAGATCAATCATATAGATATTTTATTCGATCTTTTAAACGATTATTCTATTTCACTTATATTTCCTCTGATAAAAATTCAAAGAATGACTACAGTTTGGATTTATAGGAATTATAAATCAAATTTGATTCCAGTGCTCACATAATTTTCATAATATCCTATTTCATATTTTTACTAATTAACCTGAAATTATATGTTAATGTAAAACTGTTATTGAAAGCAAGCGATCTGTAAATATTTTTGATGATTAATGATTTAATGAGTTGTTTATTGAAGCATTACATGTCTAAAAATCAATTTATGTGTTTATCATTTTATTTTGTCTCTAAATCAATTACGTTTCTGATTATTGTTTTTTTTTTTAACATTCACAAATGAATATTAAAATTTTGATTTCATTGAGGAGTCTATTTTTATTTATTTTTTTGTTTGACAAGATAAATCATATTTCTTTACATTAAAAAAGATAAGTGTCATTTTAACCATATGTGTCATATCATGATTATGTTTTTTTGAAATGAAATAATATTTCAATACATAAAAAGAAAAAAACATGACTGTTAAAAAAAATAATTGTAGAAAAATAAAGATATTATTAAAAAGTAACCATTCGATTGTTTTTTCTTTTATCTAACTTATTCATCAATTTTATAGATAATGCTTCCTTTGGATTTGATGAATAGATAGAGACACAAGTATGTGACGGTATTCTTGTATATACGAATACATTAAAAATATACAAAACCACTATTTTCTACTTTTTGTGATTACGTGTCAAAATTTTTTTATCTCGCTTTTCTTATTGTAATCTAAATGCATATGGGAGTATGAATGTGTTCTCCTCCTGTTGCTACTAAAAATAGTTAAGATAGTTATTCATTTTCTTTGTTTTCTTTTTTCTTCCTATCTATTTTTCCTTTATATTTTGTAATATCATCGAATGTCCAACGATTTAAATAGTGTCATCATCACATTAATTTTTATGTATTATTGTATAGAAAAATTTTCAAACGTTAATAATGTTTCGTGTTGTAAATATAAGACGAACAAGTTCGGGATACCATAGTCAACGTAGTGAAGAACAGGTAAAGAAAAATAAAACATTTAAAAAAAAAAAATGAAATACTAACACATAATTTCATAACGAGATTTGATTTCTTGTGCTCATATAAGATAAAATCTATTAGAAAGAATGAAAACAATGTCTTAGTTTTACACCATTACTTTTTTTTTTTTTCTAATTGAACAAGTAGTACTTATGAAAAACAAAATGATGTAAAGAGGCAACATATGTTTTACATGTGTGTCTGGATGAGAACCAAAAGCATTTAGAGAGCATTTTTTTTTTCTTTAGTAAAGTACAAATAGTCAAAATGAATATATATACAACATATATTTTTATTCATTTAATTTTTTGTGAATTATTTTGATTATCAATACAAGAATCTTTAGTAGAAAAACATGGTATTGATCATCATACAATAATTATATTATAGTTTATAATAAAATTTTGAAATGATTGAAGAAAATTAATTCGAAATTTATCAATTAACACATCCATCAGTAAATAATGATAGATAAGCAAAACAACTTGTCATTGTTGCGGGTAGGCAAATGTTTTGGTAAAAGATATAAATATTTTATATATAGATGCATGATAAAATGTTTGTTGATATTTTCTTTTCTTAAAAAAAAAAAAAAAAAAAAATAAGAATTAGACAAATAAAAATATTTTATTTTCTTAGTTTTATTTAATGTCGTAAACTGAAGACATATATAAATAAATGCGTACTTAAAATTTGCTTTTATGGCTTTAGGTACAGTATACAATAATTATATATTTACGTTCTTTGGAGCAAGGAAAAGAAAGGATGCCTAGTTTTCAATAGATGAATGATCTTTTCTTCTTTTTTTCCTTTCTCTTATATGCACGCCCCCTACTCATGGATTGAAAACGTGCATTGCCATTCGATCGTTGTGGTCGTATATGTTTTTTCCTTTTTTTTTATATCTTATATTTAGCCTTATTAGTTGTTGACGCATCCCATTCTGTTACTTTTATTATCCATCATTATAAAAGACAGTTACACAAAAATATTTTTTTGCGAATCAACAGGCAAAAACAAACAACGACATTTTGCTTTCCTTAAATGTATTATCCAGGTTAACTTTCTGCTCTCTAAATAAAAAAAAAAACAACAACAAGAAAATATACTTGTATTAATAGATATATATATATGTATATATAAGCAATGAATCAGGAAAAAGACGAAACACTTGTAATGGAAGAAGAGGTGAGAATAGTTGAATTCTAGATGATAAAATGAAAAAAATAAAAATTGTTTTTAATATTATTTGATTTTTATTTTTATTTATTTAGAATAAAGATGTCGGGGGTACAAATGAAGCCACAACAAATAGTGGCTCAAATAAACATAAAAAGCAAACCGATGATGAAGAAGAAGAAGATGAACCGGTTTATATTGAATCAAGTCCATGTTCTCGGTGGCAAAAACGACGTGAAACAGTTTGTTTATTTTTTTGGAAAACAAAAAAGAAAAGAAAAAATTTTATTTTTCTTTAAGGTTGCTCAACGTGATATTCCCGGTATTGATGCGTCTTATTTAGCAATGGATACAGAAGAAGGTGTAGAAGTTGTTTGGAATGAAATTTTATTTTCAGAAAAAAAAATTAGTGATATTCAACACGTAAGATTAAATTTTAAAATAAAATATTCCTTTATTTTTTTTTTGTATATTTATAGAATAGAATTAG